TAGCCAGATGGGAGGGTGTTGGAGGGAATGGGTGAAAAAGGTGAAGGGATTTAGAAGTACAAATTAGTACTTATAGTGTAGTCATGGGGGTGTAAAGTACAGCATAGGGAATATAGTTAATAATATTCTAATAACTATGTATGCTGTCAGATGGGTATGAGATCTTTTGGGATGATCACTTAGTAAGTTTTATAATGTCTAATCAATGAAGTGTATACCTGAAACTAATATATGTCAATTGTAACTGAAAATATAAAATGATTTTTAAAAAAGAAGAATTTTCTTAGTGATAGTCATCTGTATTTTAATACCTATGCTCTCTGCAAGCTTTTCCGGGGCAATAAGCTGAGTGAAGAAAAGGAAAATACAATTACTTTATAATGCAATTGCTACATAAGAGTCCATAGTTTTTAAAAGAAGTTACAAAATATTTAAATAGTCATAGCCAATAAAATTGTCTTATTAAGCATTGCCACACATTACTATACCAAATGAAATATTATATATTTTGTAAGCATTACTTTGTATGCATTTTAGTCAAATAGCAAATTTCATAACAGATAATTTATTTCAAAGTCCCCATTTCCTTGCTGTTTTGTTTTATCTGTTAACATAATTTTAATGGAATATACTCAGTAGCTCAGAGATTTATTTACTTGGTGATCTTAATTTGGTTGAGAAACTTATATGTTGCTAAATTTAGCTGTTATTGAGGATCTTTTACATTTTTTAGACTGCAACAATTTGTTTTTTATGTATGTTTGTTTTCTACTTTATTTACTCATTTTTGTTACAGATGTTTCGCCTTTTTCCCCACTGATTCTCCCCTCCCCTCCACCCTGCCCTGTCCCCAGCTTTGTTGTCCATGTCCATTGTTCATGCATACATGCATATAAGTTCTGTGGTTTATCTCTCCCCCACTACACCCTTTTCTGGGGATTGTCAGCCTGTACCCCACTTCCATGTCTCTGGGTCTACATAGGGATGCATATATTCTTTCTGATTGGTATTTCAGGCTTCTAAGGGTATATTCCTAGAGGTGGGATCACTGGGTCAAATGGCAGCTCAATTTTTAATTTTTTGAGATAACACCATATTGTTTTCCATAGAGGCTGCACCAGTCTGCACTCCCACCAGCAGTGTACTAGAGTTGCCTTTTCTCCACACCCTCGCCAACACTTGTTTGATGATTTGTTGATGGCGGCCATTCTGACAGGTGTGAGGTGATACCTCATTGTTGTTTTAATTTGCATCTCTCTGATGATTAGTGATGTTGAGCATTTCTTCATATGTCTCTTAGCCATTTGTATGTCCTGTTTGGAGAGGTATCTATTTAGTTCCTCCGCCCATTTTTTAATTGGGTTCTTTGTTGTTTTTTGTTGTTGTTGAGTTGTATGAACACTCTATATACATTGGAAATTAACCCCTTATCTGATATATCATTGGCAATTATGGTCTCCCATACAGTGGGTTGCCTTTCCATTTTGATGGTTGTATCTTTTGCTGTGCAGAATCTTTTGAGTTTCATGTAGTCCCATGTGTTTGTTTTCTCCTTTGTTTCTGTTGCCTTAGGTGATGTATCAGTGAAAATTCTGCTGCGTATGATGTCTGAAATTGTGTTGCCTACATTTTCTTCTAGGATTTTTATGGATTCATGAGACACATTTAAGTCTTTTATCCATTTTAAGTTTATTCTTGTGTATGCTGTAAGTTGATGGTCTAGTTTCTTTTTTTTTTTTTTTTAATGTAGCTGTGCAATTTTCCCAACACGATTTATTAAAGAGACTGTCTTTACTCCACTGTATGCTCTTGCCACCTTTGTCAAATATTAATTGAGCATATTTTCTTGGGTCTATTTCTGGGTTCTCTATTCTGTTCCATTGATCAATATGCCTGTTCTACAGCCAACATCATACTCAGTGGGCAAAAACTAAAAACATTGCCCTGGCCGGTTTTGCTCAGTAGTTAGAGCATCGGCCTATGGTCCAGAGAGACCCGGGTTCGGTTCCCGCTAAGGGCACGGACCTCGGTTGCAGTTTGTCCCCGGCCCTGGTTGGGTCATGCGGGTGGCAGCCACTCGATGTGTCCCTTTCACGTCTATGTTTCTCTCTCTCTCCCCCTCCTACTCTATCTGAACAAAATATGGAAAAATGTCCTTGGGTGAGGATAAAAAAAAAACAAAACTAAACTAAAAGCATTTCCCTTAAGAACAGGAAAAAAAACAGGGATGCCCACTTTCTCCACTCTTATTTAACATAGTACTGAAAGTCATAGCCACAGCAATCAGACAAGAAGAAAATGTAAAAGGAATCCAAATTGGAAAAGAGGAAGTGAAACTGTCATTATTCGCAGATAACGTGATACTATACGTAGAAAACCCCAAGACTCCATCAAAAATTTACTAGGCTTAATAAATGAATTTGGCAAAGTAGCAGATACAAAATTAATGTCATTAAATCGATGGCATTCTTATACACCAATGATGAACTCACAGAAAGAGAAACTAAGAAAACAATCCCATTTATCATTTTGGCAAAAAAAATTAAGATACCTAGGAATAAACTTAACCAAAGAAATAAAGGACCTATTTGCAGAAAACTACAAGTCATTGAAAAAAGAAATAGAGGGAGATATAAAAAAGTGGAAGCACATACCTTGTTCATGGATTGGAAGAATCAACATCATTAAAATGTCCATACTACCCAAAGAAATCTATAGATTCAATGCAATCCCCATCAAAATACCAACAACATATTCACAGAGCTTGAACAAATACTTCAAAAGTTTATATGGTACCCAAAAAAGACCTCAAATAGCCACAACAATCTTGAAAAAAGAAGATCAAAATATGAGGGCTCATATTACCTAATTTCAAGTTATACTATTGTATAAAGCCACTGTAATCAAAACAGCCTGTTCCTTGCTTTCTACAATGCAGAAATTCAGCAGTCAAACAACCTTTACATGTTAGTCTATAAATTTATATGCCTTCTTAGAGATTCTTTGTTCTTAATTCTATCGTAAAAAATAATAAGATGGTTTTTACTTTATGCCATTTTCGTGAAAAAATCAGTATCTAAACAGAAAAACAAAGGCTGTACCACATTGAGACTTAACCCTGGACTTAACATTTTGTATCTACTTTCCAAAAGCCAAGACATTTATAAATTATGGCAGAAAATATTAGCGAGGCTTAATCCAGTTAACACAAAATGGAATGGATTGTGGTATTATTAGGTTTCATATCTTATAATTAGGAATTGCTTCACTGTAGGCATTCACACTGTAAAACTTGAAAAGTATAAGCATCATTCATCTATTTTGCTTTGGATTCCCTGGAAGCAGCCATTCAAATAGGACTTCTCTTTGTATCTTAGTAGGCAAGTACCATCAAGCACCTATTTATCTTTATTTTTAAAAGGTATGTTATTATTTCCAACTATTTTCTAATATTTATCAATAAAATAAAATTAAACACTTAGCGCTATAAGTGATCTGAAGAAAAAAAACTGTACCAAAACAGGTTTCATTTATTTGGTCTGAAGATCATATTACTTGAGATAATTTACCAATGTATTTACATGGTATGGTCTTGCATAAAATAATTGATTGAATTGCTATCCAAGTAATTAATAAAAAAACTTGTATTTGCCTTTATAATTAAGATCAAGGTTTAATATTTTCCTTTAGTTAGAAAAAATTTAGGGATTTTGTTTTTCTATTGTTTTTTTGTTTTGTTTTGTTTTTTTATCCTCACCCAAGGACATTTTTGTATTTAACATCAGATAGAGCAGGAGAGAGAGAGGGAGGAAGAGAGAGAGACACATCGAGTGTCTGCCACCCACACAACCCCAACCGGGGCCAGGGACAAACTGCAACCGAGGTACATGTCCTTAGTGAGAACCGAACCCGGGTCTCTCTGGTCTGTGGGCTGATTCTCTAACCACTGAGTCAAACCGGCCAGGGCTTCCTATTGTTTTATAATGTAGACTCGAGTTATTGAAATTGTATTTTTTCATTACATTTTTATATCCATTTGATTTAAATGAGATTAAACTTAAAAGTTCAAAATAGTTTCATCACCTTATTTATATCTGTCCATTTGAGAATTAGAATACAGTTTTCTATATTAGTTCTTCTGAATTTAATATTAAATCCAGAAATTGTAAACTAATTATGTGATTGAGAAAACCATCATTAGTTTTCTGTAAGATAATATATCAGATGGTAAATAAATTATTTGAAAGGATTGAGTCTTTCTTATGAAATAAAGACCAGTATTAAACTTAAAAGAAGGCCATAAAAATTAGTGATAATTCAACAAGAAAATTCATTCAATAAGAAAAGCATACCAATTTAGGAAAAAAAAAAAAAGGTAACTTAAGAAAAACAGGAAGCAATGCGATAATAAAAGCAATTATCCAGAAAAATAAAATAAAATATCCAAATATTGTGGTCTAGTTATTATATATTTAAACAAATAATTTAAATCTTCATTGTTTGTATATTAGAAAGAACCCTTTGTTAACCTAAATTTATTTATTCCTTTTCCATTTAAAAATTTTTGTGATTTAATTTTGCTATATTTCTTGTTTTACCGATGACTGTTGTGTACATAAAGAACTAGTCCATTGTTTTCTATGAAATGTTTATTATACAATAACCCCTAAACTATATTAAGATAGTAACGTAATTATTTGGTTCATGAAATGCCTCTGCAGTTATATTTGCAAAATGTGAAATTTTTAAAGTTATCCCCATGAATTATATTTCTCATTCTTCACTGAGCATAAATGTCCATACATCAGATAGATCCTTATACTCATTATCTTATTTATTTTGTGTACATATTTTGTGAGGAATTTCAGCTAAGTCTTTAAGCCAAAACTCAAATTTGACCCTGATGACTTCAAATAAAACTGTCTGTCCAGGGTTCCCTAATGCCTTCTATGCTTCTGTTTTTTGTTTGTTTGTTTGTTTTGTTTTGTTTTGTTCTCCAGAAAGACCCAGTGAACTCTCTAGAAAATGTAGAGGAAAAAAAGTTTCCTGGAGAGTCCTCCATGCCAAGCCCTAAACCCAAGCTCCATGCAAGAGATCTCAAAAAAGAACTAATCACGTAAGTGGTCCAAAATGGCATGTTCTGTGGGACTCTGGAAATAAGAAACTCATGGTCATAATTTTGAATAATAATATCTTGGCTTATATAGTTGACTTTAGGAATATTGTTGGGCAATTTCAACCATTCAATAGTTCTATTATACCTAAACCTATGCACAGAACTGAGACGATTATGGAAAAAAAAAAAAAAAAAAGGTGTACATGACATGATCTTATGCTAAGAGAATTAAAAGTCTAATTGATTAAAAAACAACATGAAATAAATAGAAATGTTTAAGTTTTTATTATAAATTCTTAATCTGAGATCCACTGACCCCAGAGGATCCAAGCCAGGGCTCCGGTGTTTACAAACCTTTTCAAACTTGATGCAAATTGCTATTTGGATAAGACAGTTCTTGGTCTTCATCACATTCTCAAAGGGTCGTGTGACTCTGAAGAATTTAAAGACCAGGGCACCCAATGGCAATAAGTACTGGTTAAAACTGCCCCAGAACCCTGGCTGGTGTGGCTCAACTGGTTGGAGGGTCCTCCCATGCACCAGAAGGTCCCTGGTTGATTTCCTATCAGGGCACATACCTGGGTTGCAGTTCCATCCCTGGTCATGGTGGTGGTGGTGGAAAGGCATGCAAAGGCAACTGATAGGTTTTACTCTCCTACATCAGTGTCTCTTTCTCTCTCCCTCCCTCTCTAAAATCAATTTCAAAAAACTGCCAGAGTTCTGAGATGGGAGGTCAGGACACATGGAGCTGGACAAGGCTGTGTGGAGCGAAGGCCCTGAGCTGAGCCCTGAGGGTCGAAAGGACCTGGAGAGACAGAGCAAGGGCAGGCATAGAGTCCAGGAGGGCCAAGGCCCTAAGAAGAGTACTGGATGCACTTGGGGACTGTCTGGAGTCAGGAAGATCATCTAAATTGTTGACTTAGAGATTCAGATGATGTGCAGAGGGAGGAAGTACAGAAAGAAAAGGACAGAGTCTTCAACACAGAACTGGGGTACATATTCTGCTGGGACCTGAGAGGGAAAAAGAATATGGAAATGAATCTACTTAAAAGAGGAGAACTAAGGAAACAATTGTCCTGGGAGCTAAAAGCTGAGAAAATTCCAAAACTGGGTATTTGATATTCTCAGATGCCACCGGAAGTTCAGAGGTTAAATCGAAAAAGGCAGGACAAATCTTTGGAAAAAAGTTTCATAAAATAATGGACGCTTTGCCCTGGCCGGTTTGGATCTGCTGTTAGAGCATCCACCAGATCTGGTCAAGGGCCTGTATCTCGAGGGCTGTCGGTCTGCCCTGGTCAGGGCTCTTTGGGAGGCAACAATGTGTCTCTCTCACATAGATGTGTGTGTCTCTCTCTCTACCTCCCACTCTGAAAATAAATGGAAAGATATCCTCTGCTGAGGATTTAAAATGAATAAAAAATAAATAGTGGAGGCCAGCCAGTAGGTGGAACGTAGAGGCAGGGAAGGGAATTCAGAGGCTGTGTTTGCAGGTACCCTCCAGGTGATGACACCAAATTACTGCAGTGACCATTAAGACTGAGGCCTTAGCCCAGCTCACACAGCCTTATTTTGCTAACCCTGAAGTTTTCTGACTGTGGGTTGCTGGCATTTAGACTGTACTTCATAAACTTCCTCGAGGACGTGATTTCATTTGGGCAATGGCCAGGTCAGGACGCGGTCGTGAGTTCCTTCTCTACCTAGGCTACCAGTTATCATGCAGCGAGGGAGAGACACCAGGGAAGACTCGTGGGGGTGGGGGGAGCGGGAGGGCATTTCAGGCAAAGGTGAGTCGGGATTCGGGGCTGTTCTGTTTGTGTTTATATCCTCAGCAGGTAGTGTCCTGCTGGATGGGTTGTGTTTACCATCAGTGAGTGAGTGAAAGCGAAAGCAAGAAGTATTTTCCATGTGTAAATGATTAAATATTAAAGTATATTCATACCCAAGAATACTGAAAACTGCCAGTTACTGAAGGTTCCTAGCAAAGAGTAACCCTTCTACTTACCCACGCATCTACGCCCTTTTCTGTTCCTTCCGCATAAAAATGAGTTTAAATGTCTCCAATAAAAATGATTTTGAACTCTCTTGTGGCCCAGGTTCCACCCGAGCCCCTGTCTCTCCTTCCTTTTACAGCAAAACTCAAGAAAAGTGTTGCTACTGCGTGACTCGGTTTCTCTTCTGAATCTTTCCCAGACAGGTTTTACCCCCATGTGGATTCCAGTTCTTGGTCCTCTTGATTCTACTTGAGATAACTGATCACGCCCACCTCCTAATCTATTTTCTACACTTGGCTTGTAAGGACACCACACCTGGAGAGTTTTTCCCCCCTCACCTGTCACCCCCTCATAGACTCCTGTACAGTCTCTAAAGATGGGGATTCGCCTCAAAGCTCAGACCTGTACCTCTTCTCTACACTCAGTTCTCAGGCTCTGGGTATTCAAACCATCGCTACAATGAGGACTTCCAGGCTGGCAACACCAGTTGTGACCAAGGACTCATTTCCCATAGCTCACATGAGCAACGAGCTCTCCCCTTGTCCCAGGACCCTCCCTCTCCACCAGCCCTACTCTTTCTGTGCTTCCTCCCTGAGGCCTCAGGGCCTTACAGTCCTGTTCCCTCTGCCCTGAACGCCCTTCCCACAGATCTCCTCTCAGCTCTTCCCTCAACTGTCACTGAGCTGAGCCGTCTTCTTGGCTACTCTGATACCCTCCCCCATCCCACTATGAATTTTCTTTCTGCAAATTACTTTGAATATCTTCAAAACTGGCATTTGTTTTTATAAGGTAGATTTGGGGGAATTGTCAGAGTTATTCACAAGTAAATGTAGTGTAAAAGTTAATAACTAACCTGCTTACCATTTTGGACAGAAAAATGAAGTGTGATTATTTTGTAATGGGTACTTCCTATTGATGCAAAAGCAAACAAGTGAGAAAGGGTTTTTAAAAGATTTTGAACAATTTTTGGAATATATTTATGAATTTCTAGGAAACTATGTCTGGAGACCTCATAGTTCTCACCTCGTTTCACAGTGTACGTGTTGACATACTGGTTTTGTGAAAGTCTCACTCCTCTAGTTTCACCCTGTTGTTCGTATGTTTTATGTTCTAACACATAAACAAATGTACTTTAATTACTTCCCCAGAACTGTTTGGCTAAAATAGGATTTTTGAATGTTGATTAGCATAGATTTGCTTTGAGTTGGAATGCCACTTACCAAGGAAACCAGCTAGTTTCCTTTCTCTAATGTTGATACTTTCACTTGCAAACCTTCCCAGCATATTGGCAAATGTTATTGTGCAAGATTTTTAATTGAAGATTTATAATTAAAGCCAGCTGTCAGAATCTGAAACAGAAGATTTTCCCACGACAACACTGCTCTCAATCTTTTCCTTATTGCTTGACCTCTTTATACCACCGAACATAAAAAATTAACCAGCAGATAATTAAGATCACACTTTATTATTATGTTTACTCAGTAATTTATAGCTGACTGGTTTAAAATTTATTAGTACTTCTTACCTATCCCGGCAGTATTAATAGTAGTAATTTAAAGATAGAAAAAAAGAATTAAAGTAAATACAATGTTGTTTTAAACACTAGGTGGCGATGTATTTCCAAAGTGGAAATTCGCAGATAATTAGGACACTTCTTTCTCCCTCTGTTATTCCATTGGTATAATGTTCAGAAGAGATTGTTCCTCTATTTGGTGAGATAATGGCATTTGCAAGATAACTCAACTCAAATGTTAATCATTGTTCATTTTTTTCTTTATTTGTTTACTTATGTTTATAGCTTGCACACTTTTCTTTCTGATAGCCCATCTAGGAAAGAGCTAAATAACTCTTCTTGGATCGAGCCCTGAAAATCAAACATCTCTCTGAGAGATGTAGATATTCTAACTTTATAATTCCTTTAGATTACCTGAAAATGACTGGAAGGTAGCTCACGGCGGGGAAAAATACCTGGAAGGTAACATTTAGGAAAATCTCGAATATTGTCCATCTCTCTCAATGTCCCTTCAAAGGGGTAAATTGTGTATTCTACACATATGGGTAAGCCTTCATTTTAGGCAGGATGTCAGAAAATAACAGAGCGTGGATGACGTAGATTCCTCCTCTGATCATTAACACTACCACAAATAGCGCTGAGTAGGCTGAGGTCAATCTGCTTACTCCAAATTAGCAACTTTTGAGCAGCATCAGAGGAAAATAAGTGACTGAGAAACTGAGGAACTTATTAACTATAGATGCAAAACTGCTCAGAATAATAATTCTGTTAGATTATTTTTAAAACACACAGAAAAGGCGCAGAATGTGACCAGCTTCTGAGATACAAGCAAGTACATAGGCACAGACTCTGATCTTTGGCAGGTCCCGAGAGCCTGTTGCTTAAGTTTATTGTTAATTAGCAATTGCTTAGTTGGGTTCAAGATTTGAATAACACTGATCACAAACTTTTTAACTAAACTCTTACCTATTTCTGATCTGTCAGCAGCTTTGTCATCTAAAATGTTAGTTTATATTTCAGTCATAGGTAATATTTTCAAAGATTTTCTTCTTTTTCAGATGGTTTCTAAATGTTTATGTCTCCTTAAAACTAACAAAAGTTTCTTTCAGAAAACTATTATGTAATTGGTGATGGTATTTCTAAGAGCCACTGTCATTGTAAAGCATGGGCTTACAATATTGATTGATTGATTTTTATTTTCTTTATTCTTTTTATTTTTTTAAATTTATCCTTATTGTTGAAAGTGTTTCAGATGTCCCTCCTTTATTTTATAACATATATTTTCAAAGAAATAAAACATCGTTGATTTTTGACACATCACTAGGACGTATATTTTAGCATCGCTTTCCTACATTATTTGAATCAGAGAATTGGATGCGATGCTGAGAGCTAGCACAATCATGCCACTTTGTTTTCAGCTAGTTTACTCGTTCTTATGTAACATAAATCCTTAGTTCACTAGCTTCTGCTTGTCCTATATACTGTGTTAACTGACCTCAAAAAGAGAAGCTATCTTATAATGAATTAGACAAATGAATCAATAAAATGCACTGGACTCTAATTATGTATTTTTTGTTGATCCAGCTGTCCAACGCCAGGATGTGACGGAAGTGGCCACGTCACAGGAAACTATGCATCCCATCGCAGGTACCTAGCAACCTGCTGTACATCAGGGTTCTATCATCTTGTTCTCATTTAAATACTTATTCTCGCCCATTCTAGAAAGATATCTGGATCAGGAATTGGAGAGGAAGTTAGCTGGGTTGTTTGTTTTTGTTTGTTTTTCAGAAATAAAGCTAAGTTAACTCTTTAGTCTTTTCACTTATGTGGTATAGATATCATGATTTTGGTTAAAAATGGTTTTCTGATCCTGTAGTCCAGGTTACGGAGTTAGAGTATCTGCCAGGGTTTTGGCTGTGTCTAGCTTTAGGACACAAGTGAAACCAAGGTAAGACTGAGCCACTGGGGTTGACCATTCACCTGTGGATGTGGCATCCTCAGTCCTGGACACATAAAAAGTCAAGGTGTTAAAGAGGTTAAACAGTGACAAAAGGCTGTGCTTAATCTTTCCATTCACTTCTTCACTGATGCGATTTGCTTTCCCTTTGGGCACTGATTTAAGCCACCACCCTTTGATGATGCAATGGGAATGGACTCCTTGTCAGTAACAACTCTTACCACTGAATTCTAGAATTGGGGAATGTCACTGGGTTAAAGCCCTTCATTCGATAAATAACAAAGTCTATTAGAAATAATTGAGTTGTCCACAAGCCCTGACTGGTTCTAATAACAAAGCCAGATTCAAACCTAGTTATTTTTTTTCCCAATCCCCAGTCACCATTGACTTTAACAGATGTTCACAGACTCAGGGTGCCATTTGAGTCCAATTTGGATATGTCAGTGTTCTGTGTTTTGTTTTTGTTTTTCTCATCCTCTTTTAGTGTTTCTGGATGTCCTTTAGCAGATAAGACTCTTAAATCCCTCATGGCTGCTAACTCTCAGGAGCTTAAGTAAGTGTGGGAAGCATGACCTCCTTGCCCTGTGTCCACTGTGTTGAGACTCTCCCCACTCAGGACCAGTATGGTCACCAACAAGTAGCAAATTGTCTCACTAAATTATAATCAACAAACTCTTTCACCAAAAAGTTCAAATGACTAAAATTAAATCACTGCAAGTTAGTTAATTTGCCTGCTTTGGGAGTCTTGGTGTTTACAATAATTTTAAAACAATGATGTAATAGTTTAAAAAATACTTTTTTTTCCTGCTTACTTCAGAATTTATATAATAAATCAGACCTCTGAAGGTATGGCAAACCATTTCATCATCTAATTTTAAGAAAACTGAGTAATATTTTTCTTTATGGGCATTTTGAATCGTATCATTGCCTTTCACCTTTGGGTTCTGGACTCTTCTGGCTCATTTTTACCTACTCTGCAGAATCTCAAAGTCACATGTGTATTAACTTTTACTCATTGATTTTATTTTTACCATTCTTATCTTCTTTTATTCCAAAGTTCTCATTTATTTTCATATCTTATTATATTACATGTAGAATAATTAAAAGTTATAATCTACCTTAAACCCTTTAAAATATAATAGGGCAAAAATTTTAAAAACATACAGGGATAATATTAAAATTAATTAACTTTATTTGAAAATAATAATATTTTAGGAAAAACAAGTGTTACTAAGTCTAGTAATAAAACACTATTTGTGTAAATAGTAGAATCAACATTTTGTATCTAAATCACGTACAATTTTAGGTATTGTGTTTTCTTTATATTTTATTAGTATTTCCATTTTCTAATTTGTTTTAAAAATTTATCTTAAATTTATAGGAAATAAGTTTGTGAAAGATAATGGAGTATTAAATAATTATAAAAATTCAGAATTTTAGTATGAAAAATAGTAAAAGAAACTATAAAATATACCGCTTTTCTCATTTTCAAAATGTAAAATACAATTCTGGAAATTGTTTTATTGACTGCTGCTTTTTCAGACTAAAATATAAGAATGCCAAAAACTAATAACAGATTGAAAAGAGAGAAGTGCCAGGCATACTTACTTTTATTTAATCTCATTTACTCAGTACTCACTCATTCAATCTTGCAGATTTGCCCTAAACTTTTACATTGCTATGACTTCATAATAATGGTCAGTTCTCTGAATTATTTTCTCTGAACATTATTTCTAGGGGGAAAATATTGATAGTAAATTTAAAACATGCAGGTTGATATGTCCTATAACAATCTCCAGTATTTGTGTTTTATACAGTCATTAATAAGTAACAGCTTTGGATCTCTTCCATACAGAGAAGAAAAGAGAGATTCCATTGACCTCTTCTTTAGAGACTCAAGGAGAACTCCAAAACAAGGTTACTTGACACACATTTTTCCATAATAGCAATATGCTAGTAAACCACTATTTTACAAAATATCAATAGAAAAACACTAGCATTTAAGCCTTTCCTACAATATAGAATACATATTATATCTGAAAATGGTTGATTAAACAGTGCATAAATATGATTTCACCCATATGCAAGATATAAAACTGAAAACAACAAATGAACAAACAAGATAAACAAAAACTCATGGACACAGACAACAGTATGGTGGTTACCGGGGGAAGGGGTGTGGGAAGGGTAGAGAGGGTCAAATATGTGGCGATGGAAGGAGATTTGACTTTGGGTGATAAACACACAATGCAGTATACAGAAGATATATTATAGAATTGTACACTTGAAACCCATATAATTTCATTAACCATGGTCACCCCAATAAATTTAATTTAAAAACTTTTTAAATAAGTAAACAATAAAAGACTCAGCCCTCTGGTTAGCTTAAAGAGATGTATGCTGGTTTTGTATTTTATTTCAAAAAAGCATTTACTCCTATTTTCTGCCTCAGGAGTAAATGAATAAAAGCATTTCCATGAAAGTTCAGTGGGTTAGAGTTTAAGAAAAAGGGAGGCATTCACATTTTTCTTTTGGTTATTATTTTTCTCAAACTCTTGTTTGGGTAGAAATCTGAACCATTGTGATATGTGTACAACTGAAATAATAACAAAGATAATTTCTACAATAACCTTCAGAAAAGCAAGCATTTTATAGCAGTCTCTGTGTATTTATTAGCATTTGTGATTTTTTAAAAGGCAATAAAAGGGAGAGAAGCAGTATAAATTGTTGTATTCAAGAGTATTTTGAAACCTATCCCTAATTAGAATTCCAAGCAGAATTGGGTTTTTCCTTCTCTTTCACCCTTCTCCTTCCAAATTTAATGGTTGATTGTCAATAATAGTTATTGGTATATTTTCCAAAAGGCCATTTAAGTTGGACCATGAGGCAGAACAGACCAGGTGCAAATGACTTAGGTTCTTTGGCAACCATATTAATGTGCCAAGTCTCTGGAATTCACATGTAACACTGCTATTCATCTGAATTTAACGGATTATTACGGTAGTGGAGCATATCAAAGAAAATAAATTCTGCTCAAAAACAATTTGGAAAACTTATTTTTCTTAAATGAAAGATAGGAACTTTGCATGATATAGACAGAAAGCCCAGCAGTAAGTTGTGGATAAAATTTCAGGTTCCTTCCAAAACAAGGTTTAAAATAAAAGAAGATAGGATAACTAATACAATGTCTACCAAGCATCGCATAGTAGTTACATCTCTAAACAATGTTTTAAATGGATTCATGGTCAAAAGTGAATTATAGTTGAGCAACATGGGTCCCACCGAAAGCTACTCGTTCCGTTTCGTTCTATTTGAATGTGTCATGATCCCCTCCTTCCACCACGACCATGTGGCCTGTGCTCTGTTCCTGTGTCTTCCAGGTGTCCAACCCCAGGTTGTGATGGTTCAGGGCACGTGACTGGAAACTATGCTTCCCACAGAAGGTAGGATTGGCCCCGTTTCTGAGACACAAAATCAGTGTTGGCAGCAGTCTCCATGGAGATGACATGGTTTGGTGTTGTTCTTTGTTGGGTACATATTTTAGTTTGTCCGGCTGCCCTCGTGCCAGGAAAGGTGGTGTCAGAATGACAGCTACGAAGGAAGAAAAAGAAGACCCTGAACTCAAGTAAGTGTGACAGCTGAGGCAGCAGCATCAGGGCCAGAAGTCGCTTTGGTAGTCAAATGGGTGGGACCTTAGTTGGGATGCGGCTGAGCATTGATTGCATTTCAGGGAAGGTGTACCCTCTCAAACACAGGAGCCTTGAAGTAGCAGTCAGTGTTTGGAAGTTCGAGAAAAGTTTTCCATTCATAGCTATGTTTCTAAGGATTTTTGATACTGTAAAATTAAAAGGAGGGAGATCATCCTTTTTTCCAATGGTTTTAAAGAAAAATAGCACTGTGGACGTGCTACAGAACCGCACATTGGCAGCATTTCCCCCTGAAAATTTAATTTTGCTTAAGGTGACATTTTATCTAAATTAAGTTCCCTCCTCTGAGACATATGTTACCAAACCTAGGAAGATACATGAAAATATAGATGTAGAAATTTAAATTGCTGACTCTGAAGCATTTCTAAGGACACTTAGGCATTTGGAAACCAAAATTCAGTTCTGTGAGCAACAGGCCATGTGATGCAGGACAAGGCGGTAACATTTCGCACCCGTGGTCTTCGCAAGCTGTGGAACACGGGCTTGTCTGCTTGGCCGGGGCTGGAAAGTGTGGGCGTGCACTTGACCCCACTTCCTGTAACGCGGATGACAAGTTACCCAAGCTTTATAAGCCTCATTTTCCCTACCTATAAAATGGGATAATACTCTCTCCCCAGTAGACTTGCCGCGAAGGTTAAAGGAGATAATGCCTGAAAATGGCTTAGCCCAGAGCCTGTGGGCCATTACTGCTAACAGTACAGTGCTGTTCGCTAGCTGTAGGGGCATCTTTTAAAACTCTATAATTTCACCATTTGCCTTCTGGAGAGTGTGGAACCACCACTGTCTTCTTACCCACTCAGTTAGTTACTGCTTGTCGTGTGAGTTCTCCATTCTCTCCCCGCTGGTAATATCTCTGCTGTGTTTCTCTAGATGTCCTGTGATAGGGTGTGACGGCCAAGGTCACATATCAGGTAAATACACATCCCATCGCACAGCTTCTGGCTGTCCCCTGGCTGCCAAGAGACAGAAGGAGAATCCTCTCAATGGGGCCCCCCTCTCCTGGAAGCTGAACAAACAAGAGCTACCACACTGTCCCTTGCCAGGCTGCAATGGGCTGGGCCATGTAAATAATGTTTTTGTCACCCACCGAAGGTAACATTTATTCTCTTTTTGCTGTGTTGTTGTTGTGATTATTTGTTCCCTGGGTTGTTTTGTGGGTGGGTGGAGCTCCCCTCAAGGTCATAAATTATAGCATTTTAGATGTGATAACAATAAATCTTGTCAGATAGTTGACTAGTTTGAAGAATAAAAACTATTGTCTACTTCTGAAAATTTACTACATAATTTACAAGTGTTCTAGAAATGGTGCATTTGTCTTTTGTATTCTAAAATATTGCTTATGCTGCTATTTTTTAAATGGTTCAGTGTTTTAATGGTTCACTTTAGTTCCAAGTGGTAATATCTACTCTATTATGTTGTGTAATCATAAACTTCCATTTTACATATTTTTGCCATTCCTTTCCTCTCATGAACTGGCTCAATTTCAGGCCAAATTATAGTTATTTTTCTGCTGGGAAGATGTGACTCATCCCTAGCAACCAGAAACAAAATGACACAGTGACTACTAAGAGCATGACAGGATGAGAGAGATTTAGAAAACCCTTTATAGTTTCACAATGACTTAATTCCTTTGTCACTGTGTGTCACCCATGTCAACAGAGTCCTTTTGTGAGCACAGTGATCTTAGTCCAGCTTCTTGGTCCACATTGCACCTAAAAGAAGGAGCTAGAAACACTCCACACTTCTCCCGTCAGTGAGCCCCTTCTAGCCTCGCAGCCCATGCACGGGGTGCAGATGTAACGTCAAATGAAGCTTCAGCGAGCCTGGATGCTCTGCTTATGAGCGGAATGCAAATTGAGCAAAGCTGGGGCATTTTGACATTTTGTTCAGTTTTAAAGCTACATATCAATGCAATCAGAAAAATGAAACCTTCCAGGGATTGCTGATGTAAGTGGGTGTGCAGCGACCCCTGTGGTCTGTGTTTTGGTGGTTTTCAAATGCATGGTCACCTCCACAATAGTACAAATTGTTTTACTGTGAGTGTGAGTCATCACTCCCTTTTTAGAAATGACGCTCACAAATCAAGTGCGCCTAATGTCACATCTACTGCACAGCAGCTTTGCTGTCTTATCACGGCCCGAGCAATATCCATGTTAACACTGATAATGAAATGTTACTGCTATACTCTGGTGAGCACATCCCTCAGTTCCCGACAACAGAGTTATCTTTAAAAACCATGAAGAATGTTTAAAAGCTGACACCAAGGTGAGGCGAGGAGCCACGGGGATTGTCATACAGCTGCAGGTAGAGAGCAGTGGGTGAAGCTACTGTAGGAAGCAAGTTGCCTTCAGGAGTGAAGTTGAGAAAGAGCAGAACACACCTGCTGCCCAGCACTGAGTTGTCGGACACGTGCCCGAAAGCTACACGGTGGAGCTTGGAGACACGTCTGAGAACTCTGGGATAGCGTTGCTCTCCTGGCTCCAAACCACACGACCTACTAGCAGCCCAGATCATCAATGCACAGCTTCTTCTTACAGGGACTGCCAGGCAGCGGTGAGAATGGAGGCACAGCATGGGTGGATTTTATTTACTTTTTATTTAAATATGTTTTTATTGATGTTTTACAAAGAAAGGGAGAGAGAGATATAAACATCGATGTGAGAGAGATACATGGATCAGCTACCTCCTGCCTGCCCCCCACTGGGGATCATGCCTGCAACCTGGGCCTGTGCCCTGGCCGGGAATCGAATAGGGGCCTCTCAGTCTCTGGGAGGACGCTCATCCACTGAGACACGCAGACTGGGCACAGGGGTGGATTTTAGAACACAAAGCTGAATGGGGAAGAAATGCTGAAGAATATATCAGTATGCCTCTGATTACAAAGAGTTAAAAACATGTAACAAAACTACATTTTTAAAAAACTAGGTTATTATTAGCCTACAATTCAAGTTAATGGTTTTCTCTGGGGAACAAGAGACAGCAGTTGCTGGGGGGCTCAAGGAGCTTCAAAGATACTAAAAAGGCCCATGCTTGCGTGTAAAAGGACACGGCATTCGTTTTAAGAGTGTTCTTTAAACTGCAAATATATGTTATATGTGTCTGTGTACACATTAGGTATTTCACAATATGAACATCAAAATGACGAGTTCAAAAAAAGATAGACTGCAGGACTAATGACAAGATAGTATTTTTTAGGAGAAGGAAAGCAATTAAGAATTTAGACAAATGAATAACAGATTTCACTGTTCTTCACTAGAGATCTCCTTGCTGCATACAAGATTTAAGAGACTGAATTTAATTTGGGGGATTCTCTTTAATGTGGAGTGCTTTTCTTAACTATAACTATATATATTATTATATACACATATATTATTCTTTAATGAAATAATATAAGGAAAATGGCTAGCTTATTCCTGGCACATCCATAAGTGTTCTATACAGACTATTTCCTTTCTCTTTTATAAAAACTTTATTAATGCATGCACATATACAATAATTTGTTAAAGTAAGAATAACTTAAACTGGAATAGCACGTTCTAATCTACCATAGACTTTTACATGTTATGTATTTTGAGCCTAATGTTCCTGAGGTTGTTCAGGACTCTTTCCAATCACCACCAATAGCTGACTAACGCCAACTTGGGGCTCTCTCTGTTTCAGCAGAGAGCACAGCTCTCAGTAACTTTCCTGGTTCATTCCCTCATACCTTTACAAAGTCCTGCAAGCTACAGAGGTGTTTGTAATGACCTTCCATGGGCAGGAAAGGGCATGAGCGCAGGGACGTTCAGGAATGGCCCCTGCAGACAGCTCTGGGCCGCCGGACCCCTTGCATGAGCTCTGTATCGTCCGTGTCCCTGTGTGTAATGAGTGCTGCCATGTGCCAGGCCGTGTGTGCAGTTTCCTCAACCATCATCTGAGGTAAGTTTTCTAATTTTTCCCATTTTAAGATTCAGGAAAATGGGAATAATTACAAAACTTACCTTGTACAGTGGTTAAGAAATATTTGGCCTGTGCATTACATCAGCATTATATTTACATACCAATTGCTTTAAAATCTTGCTTTAAATCTTTACATTATACACTTCCACTTAAAAATAGCAATCTGAAGACAAATATTAAAATACAAAGACACACGCATATCATTGTGGATGTTTGTAGCTTTTGTAGCTTTAAAAACAAAATTTCTGTGACTAATAGAACTCAGTGCTATGCCATAACTTTGTAATTTTATGAGGTTATTAATGTATTATAAACAGTGATGTCCATTACATAAATTGTATCATTTGCCATTTACTTTAACAAGGTAGATTAAGATAATAGTTTATAGAATTACACTGATATGCCTTAATAAAATTGCAAACTTGGTCAAAACCATATAAGGCACTTCTCTGGCTATGTGCATCATGGAACCCAAATCCCAATGGGAACATCCAGCCAACCTCCCCCTTTTCTCAGCCAGGGAGATGGAGCCTCATAGAGGACATCCTCAAAAGAGAAAGCCTTTTTAAATATTTTTCCATCCCCATTTTTTAAATTTAATATTTTCTTTATATTCTGGAAGATATGACTACATTGGAAGATACAAAATATCAGTCAGCTGTTTTGAAACCAAAGACTCCCTTTTGTAATTTAAATATACTCTTTGGTTCTAAGTCACACAGTTGTGAACACTTCATTGACTTCCCACACCCGGGTGTTACAACTGCACATTCAGTGCTGGGCTGTCTGAACAAAGCAGATCCTTTAGGGGAGACAGTCACAGAAGTCCTCATGAGCTAGTAATGTCCATTACTTTGCAGATGGACTTATGGTAGGTCACATTTAAAACTGAACTTAGTAACAAAATATTAGTCCTGTTCATGACCATTTTCAGAGAACACAACATGTAACATAAAACAAGATGGATTTGTACAAACATTCCAGGAAAAAAAAAAAAAAAAACTTATATAGACCACACTTTACAATGAGAAGCTTCTAAAATAGAAAAATCAGGTGCAAATTCAGTTTGTGCTTTTTCATTATTTTATTTTTCTATGTAAAACGTTACATAATTTATCAAATTTTGGCAAATCATGTAACATTTTTTATGTATATTATATACCTAACTTTTATATTTTGTATAATTTTCACATACGATAATTTATAATTCTTTAAAAACATATTTATTCAGCAAACATTTACTTTGCTTCAGAAATATTTTTTTCACTTGGCCAAGTATCCTAATCTTTGGATTGAAAGTAATTGTTTCATACATGAATTATAATCAAATTTCTGTGGAAAATAATATTTTTAGTGACTCATTGTGATAATTTTTTATTTTATTTAAAAATAGTATCTCCGCCCTGGCTGGTTTTGCTCAGTGGTTAGAGCATTGGCCTGCGGACCAGTGAGTTGCGGGTTCAATTTCAGTCAAGGGCACGAATCTCGGCTGTGGTTCATCGCCGGCCCTGGTAGGGTCATGGGGGAGGCAACCAGTTGATGTGTCTCTCTCACATTGATGTTTTTCTCTCCCCCCTCCCTTCCCACTCTATCTGACACTACATGTAAAAATATCCCTGGGTGAGGATTAAAACAATAATAATAAAAATAGTATCTCCCAAAATACACCAAAATTACAAAAGAATTAATAGGTGCTTAAAATGACAAAATATCTGATTATATACTATGGAAATCAAGTTTTGTTCAATGTTATTATTATCCTGGTGCAATTTAAATACAGCAGCTACATCATCAAAAGCACTGCTGAAGAATGAGCATAAGGAGCAGAGTACAATCACCACTAGGAGATGGGACAGTGTGTTGCCTTGGCAGTGATGGTGTCTGAATATATTTACAGTGGTTCATTTCATTTTTCTTTCAAGATAGAGCTTTTTAAAAAATGAAAAATAATGTTTTAAAAGTTAAAGAATAAATTAGAAACTTTACCATACCCCAAGTGCATAGGGAAGGAGGGTTATTATTTGGGGCTTGTAATAATTTGAATCATTCTGTATAGCTGAGACTATAGTATATATAAAGACAGAAAAAAACTAGATTCTGCTTTATTATTTATGGAATTTTGACTAATTTGGAACAATTCTTATTCATAATATATGTACAATTTTATGTTTAGAGAAAATAACCACTACTAAAAAACAGGTACTTATATTAATGCAGAATACAAATAATTTAATAAAATTAATTAAATGACCTCAGCAGTAGCTATTTGTATTTTGATTTAAAAAAAAAAAAAAAAAAAAAACCACAAAATATTTTACATTATTTCAGGATGTTTTGCTTTGTTTTAATAGATATTGTTATTTTCTACAAAGGAACTGCGTGTTATAATGTAATAGGCAGGCAAACACTTAAATAGTAAGTAGTAAATAAAAAATTTAATTTTATATGAAATAATACATTTTTCACACATTAGTACAATTTCTATTTTCACAGCTTATCTGGCTGTCCTTTAAATGCACAAGCTATCAAAAAGGGCAAGGTCTCAGAAGAACTAATGACCATCAAGCTCAAAGCAACTGGAGGTAAGAGCTCATGGCCAGGGGTCACCATCTCCACAGAGGACCAGACAGTAGCTCCTCCCAGGGTTCTGCATGCCAAATCATACTCTGTGAATTATAACTTTAATATACAATAAGGAAGCTTTCCTCACATTTGAAATAAAACTATAATTATCTCAAATCAATAGCTTCATTTTTTTCCCTTACTTTATAATAAGGATCTCCAACAGGGAAAATCAAGCAAAACTTTTTTCTTTCAATCCTAAAATGCCAGTTTGCATGAGCATGAATGTACATGTAGGTCTACGTGTGAGCGTCTTCCTCATGTAAGCCGTCTCTCAAATGTCAAGAAGCACAATTTCTGACATCTATGTTTGAATCCTTAAATTTTGTTCTATGCTCAAAATGATACTTTTATGGTGAATCTGGATTATTTAAATTTAGCATCTATCTTTATTTCCCTACATGTTTCCCTACTGTCGATCTCTGATCAATGTTAATATACAGTTTCTGGACTCTAGACTTGGACCCCTCAATTTTCCTGATTCTCTAGTGCTTTTCTTAAGATTTTCTCATCAGCAAGTGTTGTTTTCCATCCAAGATCTGTCTACAATATCTGAGAAACAATGGCAAAGTAACTATTTTGCTTTGGAGGGTGTATTTGATGGTATCTCTGGCACGTGACTATATTTGAGCTGGAGATTTTTAACTGTTGCAACTTTATTTCTCTGAAAACATTGTTCAATCTCTTTCATTTGTGAGTGATTTAAAAAAAATAAAGCTCAGCTGGTGTTGCTCAGTGGTTGAGCATTGACCTGTGCACCAAGAGGTCACTGGTTTGATTCCCCATCAGGGCACATGCCTGCATTGCCAGCTTGATGCCCAGTAGGGGGGCATGCAGGAGGCAGCCAGTCGATGTTGATGCTTCTCTCTCTCATCGATGTTTCTATCTCTCTTCCTCTCTCTAAAATAATCAATAAAAATATTAATTACATAATTAAAGAAGAAGATATACAATATGCCAGGAAGCAAAATATTCTTGAGCTTCAACTGGTTTACCTTTTAGGCCTTCATGGGCCATCAGATGTGTTCAAGTGTTTTCCCTCCATGGGTACATGGGGAGGGGAATGACAAGCCCCAGATGTTAGGGACAGGTCCACACTCTACAAACTCTTCAGCATTCAGAGGCGTCAAAGTGCTTTCTCCAGAAGTTTTTATTGTTTCTTGGAAATGCTCCCCACTCCTCAAATGACTCTTAGCACATGTGAGTAAAACTAGTACAATGAATATTTATCAGTATATCACCTTATTTCAAACAATATATACAGGGTTAGGGTGTGTAAAACTATATTTAGAAAAAAGAAAGCTACTTAGAAATTAATTCAAAGGTGAGACAAAAGGAAGTCAAAGATAAGAAAGATAGGACAAGCCCGAAAATGATGCAGTGGATGTGTGAAGTAAGCATTTCCCAGTGGTGAAAAGGGATTTCAGATTTGACTTTTAGCTTTTTAGAAGCCAAAGCAAAAGGATAATATGATCACTGTGAGACTCACACTGTCAGTAAGTAAATGTAGAACAACACTCTTTCTGGAACTGAGTGCATGAGAAATGCTTCCTATGAGTCCTCATTATGCAAACCAGCACCACCACACAGTAAATGTAATAGAAACTGCAGGCTGTTCCTAAAAACGATCAGTACAAAATAGTAAGCCAGTGGCTTTACAGCAAATTACAATGAAGCTTTTATCAGGGCCAGTGTGATATGGGCCAGGTGCACGGCTCTGCTGCTCTGTTGAACCCACTGCCGCAGTAACCTGGGAACTGCTGGACTGAGCCCACACCCTGTGTAAATCCAGCATCTTCAGCTCAGCTTCCAAAGGATGTGAAGCTGCAGTGCGATAGGAGGAACACATTAACAAGTGTCTGAATTGCTGTTATCTAGGTGGGTCAGGAAACCAGAAAATTGCACACTTTATGATCTCAGGAGCTAGGGCTGCTACGCATATGAAGCTTGAGAAGCTCTAAGACTTTTGCACAAAGAAAAACCCACCTGAGTAAAGGCTGGTGGTCAGTTTAGGGTCAAGGAAGAACAAAAGTGATCTGAGGTCTGCTCTAAAGTGGTCCACCCCCATAGCCCTCTTCCTTAAAACTTGGTGACAATAATTACTCTCTGCATGATTTATAAAGCAGGTGTAGCCAAACACTCCCTCAGTCACTTAAGAAAAATAAAATTGCAATAAAATATATAGTGTATACCACTTCAAATTTCTTAGTGTACTGTGTTAAATTAAACTAGGTGCAAATCATTCATACAATTGGTTGAATTAGGTAACATGTTAGGAGAATACATTAATTGTAGAAGAATTGATCTTCTGGTCTCTACCTTTGCCATAATTAAATAGACATACTAATTTTTAAGACCATTAATGGTCCTTGATAACAAAATTAGATCATCTGTACATGAATGGATGGTTGACTTTCTAGTCTTTGTGGGGACAAGTAAAAGTTATAATGATTGACATACATCCTTTCAGTTCTTCCCATGTAGCAAAATAGTATGTTTTAAATACTTGGTACATCATTCTTTTCTGGATATTAAGTCTCTTCACCCCTTTAGTAACAAAAATAGTCAAATTTACATTAATTCATTGTCCCTAGATAAAAACAGAAGTGCAATTTTAGTCTATAAACCAAATATAAAAATAAAAGTTCACTAAAAAATGAGAATTTTTAATAGAATAGTGTTATTTTATTTGTACAATATGAAAAATAATTACTTAAAGCCCCTTGTAAATTGAGTGCACCTGTTATATACAGATATATATATATATATATATATATACACATATATATACACACACACACATATATGGAATATAAAGAAAATCTTATTATAAATTATATAATCCCCAATTATTTAAATTACATTAGTACCAAATAAAATTGGAATTATTGTATGAAAAGAAAGTGTGTTCTCTTGCTTTTAAACAGGTGTACTCTATAAAGAAATAGGGCCATTGAATAGTTCACTAAACTATTGGATGGAAAGTTTATATGGTTTTCTTGATCAGCAATACCTAGCTAGTCTAACACTTTATTGTAAGTATACCTATAAAGGAACATCAGTGTACACATTCTAGCAATACTTTCAAAACATTAATTATCTGTGAATAAACGTAGCATTATAAGGGTAAGAGAATATATTCTGGAACCAAAAGGCTTGTGTTTTGAATTTCAGTTCTACCAGCTTACTAATTAACCTCTTTGTGCCTTGGTTTTTCCATCCATAAAATGAGGTAATAAGTGTAGCTACCTCATGGGACCCATAAGAGAGTCAGATGGGTTATTACTGTCCGAGAGCCTGGGAACTGGCACCAGGCAAACTGCTCAGCCATTACCCCGCTTGCCCAACCTAAACTCCCTCCCTGTTTCAGGAACTGTTTGCCCCAAACTCATAGATCAACTCCTGTCCCATTCTCCTGTCCTAGTCCAGGAACTGTTTGCTTCAGGACAATAGACTCACATTCCAAGGGCCCCCATGCGTAGCCCCTCAGGACCTAACCCTAACAACAAGTTCCCGCTGCCACAGGCGCAGATATAAAAATCACAAACCCCAGCATCGGGCGCGGCTTCTCGGACTCGACCCCCCGAGTCTGTGAACCCACCCGGAGTGTACCCAATAAAGCCTGATTTCTGCTTATTCGGCTGTTTGGCTCTTCGGTTTCTTCCCACCTCCCACCGGCGGCGCCTGGCTACCTTACAATTACATGTAAGCATGGTGTGAAATCCAAAATCAGTGTCATCCTCCCAGCCCCACTCAGTGGTGAAGGTGCTTAAAGAGTGTATGGATGGAAAAAAGTATCTCAGGGGAAGTAGATAAGGTAATGTATTCATGGAAAAAGAAACTACAAAAAGACTGGCTGACTCCTATAGTTAAAGTATCTCCCCAAATTTCAGAAATCATAATGAAAACTTTGTTCAGTCATTTGTTACTTTCATGGGAATTTATGGAGTGTCTATTATGTGTAAGCTTCTATTATAATGTTTCTTGTTTGAGGTCTTTCCCCATAGGCTTCTAGGCTCCTTTTGTTACTAAACATCTTCCAAGTTTCTCCATTTTGATTAAGAGATTTAGGCATCTTTACTAACATTGGACATCAGGAGAACAAAATCCCAACTAGATCTCAATACCAAAAACCCAGATTCTCACTTAAAGAGTCCTCTCACAAGCATCCCTAACTTCGCAAAAATCACGCTCTTCATTTTCCTGCTGTAAGTTAGTGCTCCCTGAGTCTTACTCGTCTGAGAAACATCACTTGCTCCCCAGCTGCTCAAGCAAAAACAGGTAGTCATCCTTGATTCTGCCATTCTCTCATCTCCTTCCTTGAATTCATCACAACTGTTTCTAATTCTATGTACAAGTTTTGTCTTGAGTCCACTTCTATTACCACTACTTCCACTGCCATGGGGCAAGAGGTCATCAGACCCAAAGAAACCCCCAGCCATAATCTGCTAAACAGTCTCTGGCTTCTGTTCTGTCTTTCCCCTCAATCTATTCTCTGCTAAAAAAAAAAAAAAAAAAAAAAAACAAAACAAAAAAAAAAAACCTGAGCTATGCTTTTGAAAAGTCAGCTAGATCACATCACTCCCTGCTTAAAATTTTTCACTGGCTCCTATAGCACTTAGAATAAACCCAAGCCCCATGTGAGGTCCCCCATGACCCACTCCCCTCACTGTGCCTTCATCCATGAGGGCCTTCTCATGAAAGTCCCAGGAGCATCTCCTTCCCCCTCCAGTCCTTTGTGCTTTCTGCTTCCTTCGCCTGGAATGTCCATCTCACCTACTAGCTTTTCCTATGCCTGCCTCTTTCATATCAGTCAAGTCTCAGATTAAATGAGGCTTCTGCAATAAGGGTCCTCATAGCACGCTTCTTGTTTCCTTCATTGCTCGTTATATTTTGTTTCTTTGCTTTTTGTCTGCCTCACCAGATTTATGTGTGAAAATGCCATTCCTTGAAGAGGAAGTTGACTCCAAAGAGACATAAAGGGAAAAAGAATAGCAATATGTCAAAGAATTTAGCAATAGAAGTTTTCATTTGCTCAAATCAGAAAAAAATTTAAGTGCTAATAGCACTCAAAATATTTCTTTAATGAAAATCTATGCTCCATAAAGTTGTTGAAAACAAATAATTTAATCCTTGTTGTCTGGGAAAAGATTCCTCTACCAGCATATCAGCCAATAAAATATGGTGCTGAGAATGCAGTACAGTTCTGCAGGTAAGGACAGTGCAGAATGAGCCCTGTGTCCCAGGTAGTGCCATTGGTGAGGTCATGGGTAATTGTTTAATCTTTTCTTAATAGCTGTGTCATACTATTGACTCATACTTAAGTTCATTTACATACTAAGATACCTAGATCTTAGTTGTGAGTTTGCTTTCCTTCTTTATTGAATCTCAGAGCCCTGTTAAAATCTTATGACATACTCTCTTCATTGGTCCATGCATGGCTCATTTTATTTAGGTAGTAGTTACTACTAATAAAGCAATAATTACTGATAAAATAGCCATCTGCTTTATCATGCTGTATGTAAATTTTAAAGGCTTATTTTTTTCTTATAAGATTATATTAGTAAGAGACATCCATGTTGTTTCTGGTGGGCATGTGGCTTGTTTCCAGGTTGTACTTTTGTAAACAATATGCTACGTACATCTTGTGCATACCTCCTATTGTACATGAGCAACTGTTTGTCTCAGGTGTGTACCTAGGACTGAAATTGCTGGTTCACAGGGTATGTAAAGTTTATCTGTAGTAGATAATGAACTCTGTTCTAAAGCAATAACCACAGGAAAATATTAGAACCTAGACCTCTTTCAAACAAGTTGTCAAGTTTCCTGATCCCGCTCTCATGAAATCAATCTTATTAAATCTAAAGTGAAAGTTTACATTTATCCCTCTGAATTGCCAATGTTTGGTTTAGGTTCACCACAGTGGATTGTTGAGATTACCTTAAATCCTGTTTCTGGCATTCTTAATATTCACTACCTATTCTACTTTTCAAAAACCTCTACAATAGCCCTGGCCGGTTTGGCTCAGCGGTTAGAGCGTCGGCCTGCGGTCCGGAGAGACCCGGGTTCAGTTCCCGCTAAGGGCATGTACTTCGGTTGCAGTTTGTCCCCGGCCCTGGTTGGTCGTGCGGGTGGCAGCCACTCGATGTGTCCCTTCACATCGATGTTTCTCTCTCTCTCTCTCTTCCTCTCTCTCCCTCCCACTCTATCTGTACGAAAAATGGAAAAATATCCTCGGGTGAGGATAAAAAAAAAAAAAAAAAACCTCTACAATATACATGGGTTGGCAAAAGTAGGCTTATTGTTGTGAGTATACAAACCACCGAGTTTATTCTTATATTATTAATTACTTAGTAATCATTGTATTATTGTATAATTATTGTAGTGTATTAACTGTAAACCTACTTTTGCTCACTCTGGTATTCATATTCTTTCTATGAAGTAGTGATGGGGAAATTGCTCCTGTTCATTGAGTGTTCAGCACTATATTTTATTGCATTAATTCTCACAACATAGATTTTATGACTTTTTTACAGACAAGGAAATGGAAGCACAAAGAAGTAAGGTTCTCAAGTTCAAGAACAAGAGTCAAGGCCAAAGCATATGTTTCTATGTTTCTTCTATGTTTTGGCTCCTCCTTATCCAGGTTCATGTAGAGAACCCAAATTATGTGTCCCTGGAGTCTATCCCACCTGAGAGTACCCAGTTCTACTTACATAATGGTTCACTAATGAATCAACAAGCAAAACTTCTGTCTTCACAGTGTTGTGTATGAGAGAGTGCATGAGCTTTTGAATCTATGCTTCACGAAGTCCCATCTCTGCCTCTTACTTTGGACTTGGGCCGCTTCTGTCAGTGATTAGCGTGGCCCCACTTAGCTAGTCTCAGTGTTTTCAGATTTGGACAAGGTACAATGGAACACAACTCATGGTGTGCAGTGAAGTTTAACTGAGGAAACATCATGAGCACGCACATGTCTAACAGCACACCTGGACATCAGGGGGCAACATTAAATGGTGGAACTTTTATACTTCTTTTCTTTCAAAGGATTTAAATCCTGCAATTTCTTTTACCCACTATTTTAGAATCTTGAGTATGGATTTGGATACAAATTCAACCTTTCAAACTAAAGTCTAATTTTCACTTCACAAACCACAAGCTAAATGTAAAGTGATTGAGACTTGTCATGGTCTCTTAATTTCAGTTTGAACTAAGATAGTCTGATTCTTTGTAGGTATAGAGAGTGATGAAGAAATTAGGCATTTGGATGAAGAAATAAAGGAACTTAATGAATCCAACCTTAAAATTGAAGCAGATATGATGAAACTTCAGACGCAGGTAAAAAACAGAAAGATATCTTCATGGGAATCATAATCTTTAGTGGAGGCAAAACACTGAAATGTTAAACCTTGTGATAAAAAAATACATTGATATCTTCCAATGAATATACTAAGCATATCTAGATTATATAATTATTGTAAATACGAGAATAGGTGGATCACCTAGGCCATCATTGATTTGGTAGCTGAAGGCAAAGGTACTCCTGTTTCTGCTTTGAGTGCATCAAAGGCTTTATAAGCAGAAACAACAGGTCATCCTGTACTTACAGACGCCTTTACAGTAGACGGTGCTTCAGAAAAGTTGTCATGAGAAGATGTAAGAGTACTTAGTTTTATTCAAAATTCAAGTAAAACAGAGCAATTTTACATTCAATTTTTCTAGAATACCTCTGAATGTGTCCATTTTTGTTAAAAACAGATCTTTCTGGAGTGTTTTCTGAATAGCTTCTTTACCAAAAATGCAAGCAATTTCTTAATTCTGTATTCTTCTTTGTAATGTCTGCCCCATCCCCGACTAAATTTAGACCAGGTTTTTCTTGGGGTTTTTTTACACACTAATGATAACTATTGCAAAAAAAAAAAAAAAAGTGCAGTATCTCTTTCTTTTCTCTCCTTTCCTGAGATATAGGATTTTTAGACCACTGTGGTTACTGACTCTGTGAAGTCATTCACAACGGCTTAAGATAGAAGGTTTTAGTCCGTCTGAAAGAGGTTTGGTTTTCTTACCTAACATGATGTAACTAATGTCATGATCTTCCATTAACAATGATCAGGTCTTGCCTGGCTGGTGTGGCTCAGTAGATTGAGTGTCGTCCCAATGGACTGAGAACTCCCAGTTGGATTTCCAGTCAGGGCACATGCCCAACTCGATCCCCAGTAGGGGGCATGCAGGAGGCAGCCAATCGATGTTTCTCTCTCTCTCTCTCTCCCTTCCTCTCTAAGAAATTAATAGAAACATATTTAAAAAGATAATAATCAGGTCTATAAGAAGCTCGGTTTACAACTCCTCTTATAACCATTAGCAAAGACTGCAAAAGCCTCGGCCCTCATGGAGCTTAAAGTCTAGAAAATTATTTGTATGAGAGAAGGAGGAGGGAAGAGGCAGACAGATTTCAATACAGAACAGCATAGCCAGGCTAGGCCTCAGGAAGAATGAATCATTTTGGCAAAGACTGCAGGAATTGAGGGAGTTTGCCAAACAAGTATGGGGGAAGGTGTTTTAAAGAGTAAAAGCACCAGGTACAAAAACCCTACATCTTGAGAAAGCCCCGGTTTTGAGAACTAGCAGAGGAAGTGCGGCTGCAGGTGAGTGATCTGGAGGATCAAAGGAGAGGAGCCCCCGGGGCTAACCCATGAGTGCCCTGGGCCATATTAAGGATCTTGGTTTTTATTCTGATGAATGCAGAACATTCTGGGGTTTTGAGCCAAAGGTTAATGTGATCATATTTTACCTACATCTGACCTGCATTTTAAGAGACTTGTATTGGTAGCTGTGTTGAAGATGGACTGAAAGAACAGATTTCAGGAGGCAGTTAGTCACTCTGGTGGCCAGGACCAGGGACAGCAGTGAAGGTGGGGACCATCATTTCACCCTGGGTATTTTGAAGGAGGAGCCCAATGGATTTGAAGTGTGACAGGAAAAGAGCCACCAGGGATAACCTGAAGGCCTGAGCAATGTTCTAGTTGCTCTAACTGGGACGGAGGAGAGAACTGTAGTGTACGGTGTAGGTTTAGGGAAACACACTGAGCTTCAGATATCCTCCATAAAGCCACGTGGAGATGTGGTGGAATGTGCAACTCATGGGAGACGTCTGGGCTAACGATGTACTTTGGGAATGCAATTTCAAGCTTTAGAGCCATGTGATGGGGTTGCTGTTCTGTGGAGAGAAGTTACAGGGTATGCATTCCATGACCTGCAGGTTTGGCTGATGCATTTCCTTGAGAGAGAAACATGTTGTACTCCTTCCAAACTTTACTTCTTATATTCTCAAGCTATTTTCATTTCAGATCACATCTATGGAGAGTAATTTAAAGACAATAGAAGCAGAGAACAAACTTATTGAACAGAATAATGAAAGCCTGCTAAAGGAGCTGGCAGGTCTAAGCCAAGCTCTCATTTCAAGCCTTGCCGACATCCAGCTCCCACAGATGGTAAGTCCAAGGCCAGAAGGGGGCCGCTTCCTTCCACACGTTTGCCATATCAGGGTCAGTCACCAACAAGGCTGCCAGATAGGAGTGTCAAGTTTTGAGGGGTCCTGGCAAGAGTAACCCAAGTATCATGCTTCATCATGTATGACTTCTAATAACTCCCCTCAGTGGGAGGCACATTCACTGAAATCACACTGAGACCAAGGGTCTCTAAAACTAGAAGTTATTTGAAGATGAAGGTTATATGAAACTTGTTTTATAATGTGATATAAAAAAGTTTGAGGCCAAAACTCCCTGGCTAAAATTGTTTTTCCAAATAGAAAGCTTATGCGGCTTACAAAGTCCGCGACCCAGCCCTTTGTGTCATCCACCCAAATGAAGAGTTGTAGAAAAGTTTAACTTGATGCTTTCTTTGTACTAAGTATGAAGAACATACTTAAGGTCTCTTCATCTAGAATTAAAAGCACAAAAGTAAGGCATCTGTAATTCCACACTCTAAACACATATTTGAAGTATGGCAATGATTTAAAATTGGTAGAAAATTAATTTTCTTTACATGTTCATAAATATAAAGAACACTTGAAAAGGGGGCTGCATTGTTGAATGCCTTTAATTTTCGCACTGTGTACATTTTTGGAAAAAGTTTTTCAGAGCTACAAATTTTATATATAGACTGTTTTAAAGCAGCAGCAATTTTTAAAAAAATATGATTGGTTTTCTGAAAACAGTAAGTTCATAAATTTACCCAACTTCCCAGCACAAAGCTCTTATCTCAACCAATTCCAAATCTGACTCTGACAATAAGAAAACCAATAATGTGATAATATAAAACACACACACAAATAAATGATTACTTTGTGGCTAATGTTGAGGTAATTATAAACATTATTTAAAATTATTTATTAATGTTTGTCTAAATCACACTTCAAATTTATATTTCTTAATATTTTGTCCTTACCATTGCCAGTAAATAATTATTACCATACAAGGTAACTTGTACTTAGTATATAAGGTACCCTCGTGGTGACTTTCAGGGCTGATCCCACTAATTTTTCACAAAAGTACCAAAGACATTCTCATTCTGCAGTTGAGGAAATAGAGGCTCAGAGAACTGACATCATTTGATCAGGGCCCCAGAGCGTGAGCCAGGCGGACCTGGCTTCCAGTGTGGGTTCTGTTCACTCTGCCGCCAGGGCCCTACTCTGGTTATGTGACTCTCCCAGAAACGTGACATCACAAAGGCAGAAGCTAAATGGGAACAGAAAACCACAGCTAGACAACACTAATCATTTAGATCAGTACTTTGCTGAACAAAACAAAATAATCTTCAAATTTAGAAAGCTTGTCTTCTAAATGGCAACAACATTAATCATACCCTTTATAGCAACAACAACAACATCTTCTAACCACCTTGTGATGTCAAGGCGTATGTCATGTTTTATAAAAGATGGGAGATGGAGGCACTGAAGAGTGGCTGGGTAGGATCACTGTGTCATTTTTTTCCATTCACACAGTGTGCCATTTCTACATATCAAGTGCCTATTCCCTCTGAAGTGCCACATTAGCCCAAGGAGATACCAAAACCCACAAAAATAAGAGATGAGCAGACTATGACTTTGTGGATCTCACTCACATTGTACCTGGAAAGACAGGTAGAGAAATCAAGTGTATCCCAATGATGCTACAAGGGGTAAAAGCACATAGGTGCCTGGGACTGTCTCACTAACATCACCTTCTGCACACAGGAAGCCTGTTTTATGCTGAGCACTTGCAATTAAAGCTGAGACTGCATCTGAAGAGAAGTAAGGCAGCTTTGAGGGATCCAATTCAGCAGCCAGACAGCTAACTTCTGTGGCTCCACACTGACCACAAAACACTGTACAATCACATTAATCCATAAATTGAGCAAAGAATGAGCAGATGACTCCCAGCACACTTAGTCTCTCTCCCTCTCCCCAAACTCCTGCAGCCACTTGCACCCTTACCTCCTTCCCAGACTCCAGAGTCACTGCTATGCTTCCATGTCCTTTGATCCTCCTTTTGCCTCTGCCTGAATCCCTGTGATTGGTTCAATGTGTTTTGTCTTCATTTAGGGGCCTATCAGTGAGCAGAATTTTGAAGCATATGTAAATACACTCACAGATATGTACAGCAACCTGGAACGGGACTATTCCCCAGAATGCAAAGCTCTGCTAGAAAGTATCAAACAGGCAGTGAAAGGCATCCACGTGTAGGACCACAGCGCTGCCGGGCAACTGAAATCACCAACAGCAGTCATGCCAGTGAATCTCCTCGGGGCCCCTGTGCTGCTACGGCATGTAGATTGCCCTACTGCATTTACATTTGCAACATTGCACTAATTTTCCCCCCAGCTGACATAAAAAGGAAAGAAAAACTATAATAGACTCTTTGGATTAAAAGCAATGCTGTCAAATATTAGATTTTATTTATTTTCATATGTTTTTCTTTTATTTCTTCATTGCACTCTTTTGAATTTTTTCTTTGTAAAGTATATGTAAATTAATGTGACATTTTAATATTTTATTTATTTCTAATCAAAGAGTTTTTTATCTTTTAACTGCATTTTGAAGTCTGCCATATTTTTACAAGTGTGTTTATTAATTTTCCAATAGAATTTAAATAGAAATGCTATTCTCAAATCACATATCTTGCTGGGTTTAAATGAGTAAAAATGGTATGAAGGAAATCTTTGTCCAAGGACTGCACTATGATCCAGTTTGATTTTTATTGCACACCCCCCGCCCCTCACTGGCTTTTGTGTTTATAAGTGGGCTGTGGTAAGGGGAGACACAGGGAAGGAAGAAGGTAAGCGGCACCCACTAACAGGCAGTGTGCTCTCACAGAAGCCCAGGTACTGAAAAAGCCTGTTCAGAATTTGTTAGCAATAATTAAATATAGAAATCAGCAAAGTACTCGACTTGGCTGTATGGTTTTGGTAAACATGAATTATTTATTTGAAATGTTTTAAAGGAACATAAGCTTTTTTAGTGATGCAGATTTGTCTGTTTGTTTTTCAAGTCATATAAGATAGTTGGCAACTCTTATCCCAAGATGAGAAATAAGACTTGATGTGACCAGCCAGGCTTTCCTGCCATATGTTGGTAGAATATACAAGTGACAATATTGATGTAGATTTGTACTTAGAAAATACAAACATATCCAAATGGAAAATTTTGTAGATACCATATCCCCTGAAATAGCATTTATCTTACTTGATTGACTGGAAAGGAATGGAAAACATAGTAACACATAAAAAAATTTTACTCCAATCTGAGTAATTACTTTGAACACTGGTGACATTGTCTCACCATCTTTAGGCAATAATAAAACTTTCAATTTGATCAAAATCTTTCTGTACAACTACAAGTGCTACAAAGTATAGACACTCAACACACAGGCACACACCCACTTATACACACTCATATACACTCAGACACACATACAATTGAGCCCGAAATCGTGAATTTCTAGATGGATCAGAGTTGCTAGAGTAAAGACAATGTCTATTTCAGGGATTGTAAAGTAGTTAAGCATTGTTTCAAAAGTTTTTTTATATTTATTTTTTTTAAGAAAAGGTATAGACAACCAGCTAAACTGCCTTTTTGGTGTGCACACACACCTCGTGTGCAATGTGCCTCCGTGTAAATGGACACTTGAACTTAATGTGGGCTTAATTTTCTGTTCTATGACAAAAGTGTTTATTTTCTATTAGCCTCATGGTATGTAGATTGAATGTGATGGCACTCACAGGCTTGATATATTCCAGTTATTACTGTTACCTGCACAAATGAAAAGTAATATCAACAGTAATTCCACTTCCATGCCACTGTGGTCACTGTTATGTATTAAGTGGGGCTTATCTTTGGTTTGGGGTTCATTTGAACTCTTGAATTTAGTTTAGTGAAAATGAGAAGTCTGTTCTTAGGTAGGAATGGTGTTTATTTAAAAATCAATTTATAAAGAAAAAGAGCTACCATATGTGCTGTCTATTATAAATGGGACACCAAACAAAATTTTCTATTAAAGTTATGTACTTGCAAACAGTTTGCTATAGAGAACTGGATAGATGCATACAAATGAGTTCACTTATTACAAAGACAAAAGTTTAATTTGCTAAATATTTTAACAAGTTTGTTATATATTTTATTTAATTTAAAAGAAATTTCTTACCACCCTATGTATTTATTACTATAATTTACTATGATTTGGGTTAATTTATTTGTTTTTGCCTAGTTTGAACAGTATGTTTTATGAAGTATATTTGTATTTATTTGCCTCCTTTGTACTTGATGTGTCTTGTAATGTGCACTGAATTTTTTCCTTTCAAATATGTTGATCAATACTGTAAATTGGGTCTTTTGTAAACAACAAAAGGGCAATGATGTATGCATTTTTTAATTTCAAGTAGTTTGTTTGTATACTGTTTCTTCAAACAATTAATATTTCTTACATCAAAGCAACAAAAGTGTGTTCAGTGCTGTACATTTGGTGTATGGTAGGAAATAAAAATTGATAATGAGTTTTGCTGTGATCTTTCTCAAGCTGCTATATAGAGACTATTGTCACCATCACATGGAAAGCACTATCCCAGAGCAGCTCTGCTACACTCAAGCACACCCGAGTCCTCGAGTAGTTCTGATGTATTTTGGTTCTGTCGACCAGTCTGCTTGGTTTGTTTTTTCACCACAAGTAGAAAAAGATTTTTGCTCATTGACAAGTCTTCACAGCCTTCGATTCAGTACATACCTACAGAAAAGTGGGTGCCTTTGATGTAAGAAACACCTTTGCCAGCACAAACAGTAAATGCATCTGGATCTAGTGAGCAATAAATATAAGCCTCCCCCTCCTGATTCCAAAATTACTGTGGGTATATCTGTATATTCATGCAAGTTTGTTGAACTCAAATTAAAGAAAACTAATTATTAATTCTTGATAGCACCTCTTTACTTATGTGTTTCTTCATCTAATATCAATCAGTTTCATTTAATTTTCCAGTTTCTGAAGTCAGGTGGGAAGGTCAAGAGCCATGTAATTTCACTCATATTTGGGCTATAAAGCAAAAAGCAACAAATGAACAAACAAAACAAAAAAACAAGGTGATGGATACAGATGAAAGAATGGTGGTTACCAGAGACAAGTGGGTTTGGGGGAGAATGAAGAGGGTAAACGGGGGTCAAATATATGGTGATAGAAGGAGATTAGACTCCAGGTGGTGAGGACACAATCGAGTGTGTACAGATGTCATATAAAGTTGTGCACATGAAATTTATATAATATTATTAACCAACATTACTCCATTACAGATTTAAATTTTTTTATTAATTTCTTTTTGTTACAGATGTTTCTCCTTTTTTTCCCCATTGACACCCTCCTCCCCATCTCCTCCACCCTGTACCGGGCTTTCTTGTCCATGTTCATCGGTTATTAGTACATGCATATAAGTTCTGTGGTTTATCTCTTCCTTCCCACCACCACCCCTCTTCTGAGGGTTTTCAGTCTGTACCCTACTTACATGTCGCCGAGTCTATTCTATTTCTCAAATGGTTATGTTCATTATATTCCACAAATAAGTGAGATTGTTATATTTGTCTTTCTCTGCTTGGCTTGTTTTGCTTAGCATAATACTTTCCAGGTCCTTCCAAGTCGTCTCAAAGGATAAGAGATCTTTCTTTATTACAGCTGCATAGTACCCCATTGTGTATATGTACCACCGCTTTCTTATCCATTTGTCTACTGATGGACACTTGGGCTGTTTACAGGCCTTAGCTATTGTAAATAGTGCTGCTATAAAAATGGGGGTACATATATTCTTTCTGATTGGTGTTTCAGGCTTCTTAGGGTATATTCCTAGGAGTGAGATCACTGGATCAAATGGCAATTCAATTTTTAAATTTTTGAGGTAACACCATATTGTTTTCCATGGGTGCACCAGTCTGCATTCCCACCAGCAGTGTACTAGAGTCCACTTTTCTCCACGCCCTTGCCAACACTTGTTGCATGATGATTTGTTAATAGCAGCATTCTGGCAGTTGTGAGGTGATAACTCCCTGTTGTTTTAATTTGAATCTCTCTGATGATTAGTAATCTTGAGCATTTCTTCATATTTTACTCCATTGTATGCTCTTCCCTTCTTTGTCAAATATTAATTGAGCATAATGTCTTGGGTCCATTTCTGGGTTCTCTGTTCTGTTCCACTGGACTATCTGCTTGTTCTTGTGCCAGTACCAGGCTGTTTTGATTACACTAGCTTTGTAGTATAACCTGATATTCGGTATTGTGATCCTACCTACTTTGTCCTTCTTTGTCAAGATTGCTGTAGCTATTTAGGGTCTTTTTTGGTTCCATATGAACTTTTGAAGTATTTGTTCTGTGAAATATGTTGTTGGTATTTTGATGGGGATGCATTGAATCTATAGATTGCTTTGAGTAGTATGGACATCTTAATGATGTTAATTTTTCCAACCCAAGAACAAGATATGTGCATCCACATTTTTATATCTTTCTCTATTTCTTTTTTCAATGTCCTGTAGTTTTCTACAAAGAGATTCTTTACTTCTTTGGTTAAGTTTATTCCTAGGTATCTTAATTTTTTTTGCCACAATGGTAAATGAGTTTTTTTTTTTAGTTTCCTTTTTGTGACTTCATCATTAGTGTATAAGAATGCCGTCGATTTCTTGGCATTAATTTTGTATCCTGCTACTTTGCCAAATTCATTTATTAAGTTTAGTAAATTTTTTATGGAGTTTTTAGGGTTTTCTATGTATAATATCACATCATCTGCAAATAATAATTGTTTCATTTACTCCTTTCCAGTTTGGATCCCTTATATTTTTTCTTCATGTCTAATTGCTGTGGCTAAGACTTCCAGTACTATGTTAAATAAGAGTGGCAAAAGTGGGCATCCCTGTCTTGTTTCTGTTCTTAAGGGAAATGCATTTAGTTTCTGCCCATTGAGTATGAGGTTGGCAGTAGGTCTTTCACATATGGCCTTTATTATATCAAGATACAATCCCTCTATTCCCACATTGCTGAGAATTTTTATTAGAAATGGGTGCTGAAATTTGTCAAATGTTTTTTCAGCATCTATTGGTAGAGTCATGTAGTTTAATTCCTTATTTTGTTTATGTGGTGTATCACATTTATTAATTTGAGAATACTGTAGCAGCCTTGCATCCTGAGATAAATCTCACTTGGTCATGTTAAATAATTTTTT